TTCTGACCTACGCGCGCTCACTGTTGCAGCAGCAAAAGTCTGCGCAAGAGCAGCACTTCTGCGTAGCAGTGCTGCCGCAGGTGCTCGAGTGGAGCGTTCGGCACTCCGACCTGCGCTATGAGTGGAACAACGCGCTTCCGCAGCTGCAGGCAGGCCAAGTCGCGAACCAGAACTTCGCGGATTTGCTGTACGAGAGCGACACGAGCCCGCGTGGCGAGACTGCGGACTCGCAGCCGCTCAGCTTTGCCGAGTGCGACGGCGAGGCGGTCGAGCGAATTTGCAGCGAAGCCAGCTCCTGCGGGTACACCGACGAAGAGAGCGTCGAGGTGCCGCCCAAACGACAGCGTCTGACTGCGCACAGTTGCTCTTTTCTCACCAGTGAAGCTGAACCCGCAGCCGCGCCCAGCGAAGCGCTCCCCTCGCCGGCGGGCGCGGCCGCTGTGCCGGGCAACGGCGGCGCGCTTGCGCCGCTCGCAGCCGCGGGAGTATCTTCTTGGCAGCAGTGGCGCAGCCGCGCTCTGCAGCTCAACTTGGCACTGCAGCAACGGATCACGAGCCGCGCAGCCGCCCTTGCGGCGCGCGGAAACGCACCTAATGCCGTTCCTTAAATGAGGAGATTATGTCTTGCAGCTCGAGGAACATCTTGCGCAGCCCCTCTATTGCATCAGCAGTGCTAGAGCAGTAGTCTCGATACTTACCAATGGGCTGCGACGAGGCTTTCGGCGTCGAGCAGCTCGGACAGCTTGCAGCGCTGCTCGTGCAGTAGTGTCAGTTTCTTTTCGTTGTCGGGATCCGCACGCAAGTCGCTGCGCAGCGATGCGCGGCGCGCGGTCCAGAAGTCGAGCAAATCGCGCAGCTGACTCTCGAGTTTTTCCTTCGTCATTTTCAATACCTCTTCCGTTTCGCGCACTTCAGCGGCCAGCTGCTTGCGCATGAACTCAGTCTGCGCTTCCAGCCGACCCGCGAATGTCTGCAAGTCACGTTGGTAGGCCAAGACCTCTTTGCAGAGCCGCGTCAAACTCTGCGTGCTTGCTTCGCTGACTTACGCCGACGGCGACGCGGAATTTGTAGTAATCAAAGTCGTGCGAGTTGTTTGATTTGCGCATTATCTGAAGAAAAAATTGGATCCGATCAACGCTAAAAACTGCTGATGTTGCTCGCGTCGTCGATGGAGTAGACGACCGGCTGCAAACCGAGGAACAGGCCGTGATCGAATACGCCGTAAACTTCGCGGATCAGCGTTTCGAGCTGCGCGAGTGCGTCCTGGTCTAACTGGGCCGGCGCGGCGAATTGTAGCAGCGCGAGATAATTTCCGTTGTCCGTTGACACGATGGCTCCTGTTGCATCGCAAATAAACTGCGCGTGCGCAGCGAAGCCGCGCTCCTGCACGAACGCGTTGAAATGATTCAGAGTGGCCAGGTGGCCGAACTTTGCAATCTCGACGGGAACGCCTGCCTCGCCGACAAATGTTTTTAGCTTGCGTTTTTCGACGAGAATGCAGAGCCGGCGGCAGCGGAGTTCAAGGTACCGCTCGCGGAACGCCGCGGCGCCGAGTCCCTTTATCATGTTCTTGTTCTTGTCGACCTCGTCCGCGCCGTCGATGCCGAGGTCGATGGCGAAGTCGAGCGCGCCGAGTTCGCGTATCGCGAGACCCTGTTGCGCGGCGAGCTGTTCCGTCTGCAAACTGGTGCACAGTACGCGCACGTCGGTTACGCGTCCTGCGGCGCAGGCCGCGCCGAGTGCGAGCACTACGTGCGCCGACATCCGGCCGGTGCCGAGAACTACAGTCATGCCCGAACGAACCTCCGTCTCCACCACGTGTGCCGCGAGCTTGGCGCGCAACGAATCATACACAGGACTACTACAAGTTTTCAGGCTGTAAGAGCTCATTGGAAAATGCTGAGGAGACTCAGCGTGCTTGTGATCGAAGAAGCGTTTCCCAATCGCAATTAACAATATTGCGCAGATATCGAGAGTGCAACTAGAAACCGAGAAGTGTCGAAAAGATTCGAGTGCGGAGAGTGCGAGTCAGGATGACGAACTACGCGGCAGACAGTCGCGGCACGAGCGGAATTAATTGCCAAGAAAGATTAAAAAATCGATGCCTAAATCCCGAGGGCTCTAGCTGGATACACACGCCGAGCAAAGTTCTCGAGGGCAAAGCTCTGCAGCGCACGGCGCTTTGCACGCAGTGCTGGCTGTGCCGGCACCGCGAACTGCAGACGAAACTTGGCTCGCTGGTCTTTTTGTTTACGCGGCTGATCGAGGTTACGAACGCCGTGAATCCCGCAGCCGGCTGGGCTGCAAGCTGCGTGCAAAACGCAGCTTTCCGCCCCGCGCTGGTTGAACTTCTAGCGTTTTCGCACCGCTCCTACAAGCAAATGTGCTTGGACGGCGACGCGGAGGCGTGCTGCGATTCGGTGAAGATCATGACGAAGTGCGTCAACGCACTGTGTCGTTTAGTATTTCAGCTGCTCGACCGCCAGGGTGAACTTCGCGCGGAGTGTGGCGCTGAGGGCGGTGCGGCGCAGAGCGCAACTAAACGGCGGGCGCGCGTTTTGACGTTGGAGACGAGCGTGCCTGTCGAGTATTCTGCTGTGACAGACAAAGAAAATTGCGCGTTGCACAACGCAGTCGACGCGAAACTGCAGTCTAGGATGGACACCAGTTACGGCATAGACAGCATCGCAGACGAACTGCTCGAAAGAGCAGCGCCAGCTGCTTCGGAAGTGGACAGTTTGCGGAACAGTTTCGGAGCGACGCTCAGCGACAGCGAGGAGAGCGCGGCGGTCATCGACTCTGAGCGCGCGCACTGCGTTGGCGTAGCCGCGAGCGACCCGCTACGCCTGACACGATTTGCAGCGCAGCTCAGACACGGCGTCCGGAGCGCGGCTGACGGGACTTCGCGGCGTCCCGCGAGCGCGCGTGATGCGTCGTTGTTTGGCGGCGACGCGCTGCAGCAACTGGCGCGGCGCGAAGTTCCCAGCGAGATGGCTGCGGCGTCTGAGTTGTGTCCGCTGCGCGCAGAGACGCTGCAGCAGCTCGGGCGCATTGGCGCGCCGTGCGGGACAGGCACTGCACGAGAGGCGCGACTTGCCGAGTGGGCGCGCTATGGCGCAGCCCCGGCTGTGCGTCGCCGGGCGCGGCAGAGAAAATATGCGGTCAACGAAACTGTGGAGGTGCTGCTGCCAGCGCGAGATCCTGCAGTGCGCAAAGAGTTGATGACGCTTCGCTCGGAGTGCAGCTTGAGCGTGCGCGCGTTGCTGTTGTTGCTGGCCGCTGCGGCGCTGTTGGGGGCCCAGCTGACCGCGGGTGCCACGTTTTTTGGGCTGTACTTCGGCGCAAGCGTGCGTCTCATGACAAGTCGATTTCTGTGAGCGCCGCCGCAGCTAGCTGCAGTACATTCGGAAAATTTCGAGTTCTTTGAGCACCTCTTCGACGACTTGGGCCTCGACGTTGAGCAGCGAGGGGATGAGCGTCTGCGCTTCTTCGACGTTGTTGGGCGCGAGGTCCATGAGCTGTTTGAATTCGAGCATCGAGAGGTGCGTTTGGAAGTCGGCGTAGAGCTTCTGGATGTTTTTGACGACGCTGGGGTTGCTCGCGTTGGCGAATTTCTGGCAGTAGGCGAGCGTTTCTTTGATGACTGGGTTGGTCGCCTCTCCGGCGGACTGCAGCCGCTGGTTGAGGTACATCAGCGCCTCGTTGATGCTGAGCGGCACGGATGACTCGATCATGGCGCGCGAGAAATAAAATCGGAAAAATAAGTGGCGCTGCGCACTGGACGATGGCGCGGCAACTGCACGCGATGCGCGGCGCGAGCAGTGCTGCGCTGCGTGCGCGTCGGTGGGCGCTGCTGGCGCCCGCCGAGGAAGTTTCGAATTTTTTTGACTTATTTGCCAAATGCAGCGGTTTGCGAAACGACAGATCTCATGGCTACTTCACCTAGCTGGCAGTACCGCGAGGACATTGAGAATTTGCTGATTAGCTGGGACCTTTACAGCGATGTCTCGGATGACCGCAATTCGAACATCTACTTGGAGAGCGCGCTGATTCGCAAAGCGTGCGTGGCGGCGAGTTTTTCGACTGGGCTGCTGCGCTTCGACGAGAAGACTCGGAACGTGATTCGCCCGCTGAAGGACCGCTACGAGAGCGTGCTGGACTACCAGCAGCACTTTTTCCCGCTGATGCTGCTGGAGGCGAAGTGCCACATGCTGCGCGCTCGCGAGCTGATGTTGCGCAGCTCGAGCAACGAGGCGGTGACGCAGGTGGATATAAAGTGCAAAAAGAATCAGTTTTTCGTCGTGTACTTGACGCGCAACGACAACTCGGAGCCGCTGATGCAGGGCGACTTGGTGATGCTGTACGCGCCGCCGCCGCCAGGCAAGCACCCGATGACGATCGACGCGTTTCGCGAACAGGACAGCGAGGCAGCGGTTGCGCTGTACGCGGACGCGAATTTGGAGGCTTTGTTGAGCGCGGAGAGCGAGGCAGACGACGCGCCCGCCAGCGCGGCCCATCCGATGTACGCGGACAACCCGCATCACTGCCTCGGCGTGGTAGAGGGCACCAACCTGGGCGTGACGCGCGTGCGCGTGATTGTGAAGGAAGACCCGGCGGCGCTGTCGGAGCTGCTGGACGTGCAGATCGAGAGCGCGAGCGCGCTGCGGACGTACCGCGCGACGGTGTCATTTTTGTACCAGCGCGAGAAGTACCGCGCAAACTGGATTGCGGCACGCGTGGCGCAGGTTGCGAACGTGGGCTGGAGCCTCGCGCGCGTGATGAATTTGTCGACGATTTACCGCGAGTATTCCGCGCTGATGCAACTGGACTCGTATAGCTTGACTCCGCTACTGCTGGGCAGCGCGCCGCCCCCGGAAGCGACGCGCTACGCGCCGCCGTCGACGCTGCTGCGTGCGCTAGAGGCTGAGTACAACGCATCGCAGCTCGCGGCGCTGACGGAGAGTTTGAAGCACACCGGCGTGAGCTGCATCCAAGGCCCGCCAGGCACGGGCAAGACGCGCACGATCATCGCGCTGATTTCTTTGCTTTTGTGTTCCACAAAGGTGGAGACGCAGGCCGACGCCGCGCTCGCGCAGCCTGGCTCGGCGCAGCGCGCGGCCGCGAGCGAGTCGCGCGGCGCGAACACTTGGACGCAGGTACAGCGGAGCTGGCTTGACGAGGGACGTTTTGACAACGAAGACGTGCTGGGTCAGCCGTGGGACGAGGCGCAGGACGAAGAGCAAGTGAGCGCCGCGGAGATGCTGGCGCTGAGTTGCACGGAACAGCCAGTGTACGCGTGCAAGCTGTTGGTGTGCGCGCCGTCGAACGCGGCGGTCGACGAGATAATGCGGCGGCTGGTGCGGCCGCCCGCGGAGGGCGGCGGAGTGTACGACAAGCGCGGCGCGCTGTGCGCGCCGAACGTGTTGCGGCTGGGTCCGGGCTTCCACAACGACTTGCGGCCCTGGACGCTGGCCAGCGCGCTCGCGAGCCAGAACTTGGACCGCGACGGCGCGATGTCCCTGCAAAACTCGCTGATCGAGCGGGCAAACATCATTTGCTGCACGCTCTCGATCGCGGGCAGCAGTGCGCTGGTGAACAGCGGTGCGGAGTTCGACGTGGTGATAATCGACGAGGCGTCGCAGGGCGTCGAGCTGAGCACGCTGATTCCGCTGCGCTCGAAGTGCAAGAGCATGGTGTTGGTGGGCGACCCGCGGCAGCTGCCGCCGACGGTGCTCAGCCGGCTGGTGCTGCAGATGCGCTACAACGTCAGCCTGTTTCAGCGGCTGGAAAGCTTGCAGTACCGCATGTGCCTGCTGGCGACGCAGTACCGGATGCACCCGGTGATTAGCCGGTTCTCGAGCGAGGAGTTCTACGGCGGCAGTCTGACAGACGACCCGGGCGTGGAGGCGGCGCTGCCTCAGTTGCTGCCCGCGTGTGCGCGCGTGCCGTTGTTCGACCCGCTGGTCTTCTTGGATCTCGACAGCCAGGAGGCGGAGGAGCAGAACAGCAAGGTAAACGTGGCGGAAGCCAACGTGTGCGCGGAGCTGTACTCGGTGATTGCGCGGCTGCTCTCGGGCACGGACGCGGCTGCCAGAGCGAAGCAGAAGCGCGTGGCGATCATCAGCTCCTACGCGTCGCAGACTCAGTTGCTGCACAGCTTGGTGAACGGCGTGCGGCGCGCGGACGATCCGCCCGACCTGGACGTGAACACCGTCGACGGTTTCCAGGGCCGCGAGAAGGACTACGTGATCTTCAGTGCGGTGCGCGCGCAGTTCGAGGGCGGCGCCGCGGCGGACGTGCGCAGCGACATTGGCTTTCTATCGGACCGCCGGCGTCTGAACGTCGCAATCACGCGCGCGAAGGCGAACCTGTGGGTTGTCGGCAACGCGCGCTACCTGCGGCGAAACCCGTTGTGGGGCCGCTTTATTGCGTACTGCGAGCGCGCAGGCACAATGCTGCGGCTGCAGGTGGATGCGTGTGGCAAGGCGCAGTCGGTGCGTGCTCTGCTGGCTGGGCAGCTGCAAGAGGACGAGCGCGCGCGCGCGTGGTGGGCAGAGCACCAAGCCGCGCTACTCGGCGAGCTGGGCGTCGACCGCGGAGCGCGCGCGTGACATGAGCAGAAAAAGCGAGCAGTCGTCGGCGGGCGCGGGCAGGTTTAGCGCGGAGAGCGCGGCGGCGGCCGCCGCGCGCAGCGTGCGCAGGCGGCGCGAGAGCGTGGACTCGGGCAGCGCGAAGAGCTGCGCGACGGCGGCGTGGCTCAAAACCGCGCGCAGCGCAGCGCTGCTGTTCGCGGCGAGCGCGACGAGCGCTGCGGCCGTGCTGCGCAGCGAGCTGTGCCCCGGCTCGAGTTTCACGACGCGCGAAAAGAAAAACACGACGGTCTGCAGCGCGGCTGCGAGGCGCTGTTTGCGCGCGTCGCACTCGGCGCAGCGCGGCGCGCCGCGCGGCGCGGCGCCGGCGGCTGCAGGCGCGGCGGGGTCGCTGAAGAGGCTGTGGAGCAACGCGCCTCGCAGCGTGTCGGGCGCCTCGTCAAGCGGCGCGAGGCTTTGCGCGGCGTGCGAGTCGGCGGTTGCGCCGCAGCCGTGGAGTGCAGCGAGTTGCGAGTCGAGCAGCGTCTCGCGCCAGTAGTTGAGAAACAGACCGAGGTCCGCCTGTGCGGCCGCGCGGCCGTTCGCGAGTTTGCAGATGGCGTTCTTCAGGCAGTGCAGCGAGACGCGTTCGGAGGCCGCCAGCTGCTGCAGGCTGAAGTGCATTCGGGCGCGGCGCGCCTCGAGACACGTGGCTGCGATCGCGAGCTTCACGCTGGACGCGGCGCTCGAGAACTTGCGCGGCGCGCCGCTGAGGTGCTGCGCGAGGCGCCGTTCGACTGCGGCTTGCAGGTGTTCGAGCCGGGTAACCGCGAGCACGTGGTCGACCGCGCGCTGCAGCAGCTTGTCGCGCAGCGGCGGGCCGTCCGGCGTGCGCTGCGGGCGCGCAAACGCGGCGACGAACTGCGGCGAGCTGTCCCCGTGCGCGTCGGCGCAAGCGTCCGGCTCGCGCGGGCGCCACAGCGGCTTGCCGCGCTCGGCAGCGCCGAAGAGAGGCAGATTTAGCGCGGAGCCGGCGCGGTGCATCGGAAAATCTAATTTAGGCGATTAAATTCGGCGGCGGCGGTGGCCTCCGCCGCGCTCGTGCTTGACGAGGTAGCGCAGCTCGGCGACCTGCTCTTTGAGTCGCGCGAGTTCGCTGGACTCGCGCGCGCGGAGCGCGCGCGCCTCTTCCTCTTTGGCGACCTCATAGCGAGCGAGCGCTCTCCATAGCTCGAGCGTGTTGTTCTCGAGCGCCTTGAGCTCGTCGAGGCGGATCAGGTTGTCGACGAAGACACCGACCAGGTCTTTGGGCAGTTGCGGCGGTTCCATATTTTCTCGCAGCACGTGTCGTCAATTACGTGCAGCAGATTTTTGAGCCGGCTGATGTAGCGGCGTTCGGTCGCGGCCAAGCTTTGCAGCCGCAGCGCGCGCAGCCGTTTGCACAGCCGGAAGTTTTCGAGCAGCTGAGGCGTCAAGTTTTGCTCTGTAAATGCGTACGTCTCGACCTGCGTGGCGAGAAAGGCTGCGACGCGGCTGTAGCTGACGCGCGCGGCGAGCGCGGGCGGCAGGACCGCGTCGGCGAACTCGACGAAGCGCGGGAATTCGGCGAACGCGTGGTTGCCGAGGTGGAAGCCGCACATGACCACGCGGTAGAGCAGCGCAGACTCGATCTGGTCAAACGCGGCGAGGCTCTGGCGCGCGTCGAGACTCGCGAACAGCGGCGCGTAGCGCCAGAGCGTCGGGAACAGCGCGTCAAGCGTCAGCGTGCGCAGCTGCAGCAGCAGCTGCTCGCAGTTGAGTTCCGCGAGCACTTGGCGCTGCGGCGCGCTGCACAGGCCGAGCAGGTTTTTGGTGCTGTTCAGGCAAACGTCGAAAGTCGTCGCAGTGAGGCGCGCGGACTGCGCCTGCACGCTGGCGCGCGCGAGTGCATCGACCACTTTGCCGTAGAGCGCGTCGAGCAGCCGCGCGCGTGTCGCGGCCGGCTCGAAAAGCAGCTCGGCGTAGATACGCACGACGTTTTCGAAAAGCGGCTCGTCCAGCACCGACCACGCGCGGGCCAGCCACGCGGCGCTGGCGTCAAAGAACGCCTCGACGACCAGCTCGTCCCACAGGCGGCTCTGCTTCAGCGTGATGAGCCCCTTCCAGATTTGCAGCGCCGGCATGATCGCGAAGTTTTGGCCCACGACTTCGAAGCGGCTGCGGCAGTGGCGCAGCAGGCTCTGCAGCGCGACGCGCAGCGTCTGCGCGTCGAGCAAGTCGAAATGACTGCCTGAGCCGTCGCGCACGCGGCTCGTAAAGCGCTCGAGCAGAGCACCGTCAACGTCCGACTCGGCGGCGGCAGGCAAGTCGCCCGCGCGCGCGCCCAGCGCTGCACAGTCCGCCCCACGCGCCGGAGACGGCGCCGCGGGCGAGCCTAGCGTTGCACAATTTCCCCCACAAGCTAAAGACGGCGCCGCGCGCGCCGCCGCGCTCTCCAGCGCAGTTTCAAACTCGCGGTGCGCGGCGCTGAAGCTTTGGTTTACGGCGCGAACTAGCTCCTCCGCGGCGCGCTCCTCGGGCAGCTCCTCGAGTTCTTCGAGCAAACTGACGAACGCAGAGGCATTCGTGGAAGACACACTTCTGGCAGACGCGTCGCTAGCAGTCGCTGAAGCGCGGAGCTGCGGAACCTCGGTCACCGGTGCTCGGACCGCTGCGTCGTGCTGCAGGCGCTCAAGCGATGTGAGCAAAGCGTCGCGGGCTGCAGAGTCGTGCGCGCCGCGCACGGCAGTGTAGCCCGAGTGCGTGCGGCTCGCGCACCGAGTCTCGGACGCTGGTTGAGCTCCGCAGAAATCAGCCGCGCGCGCCGCAGCGTTCGGTGCGTTGCAATCTTTAGCGACGTAGTCGTACGCGCGCAGCGCGCGTGCGGCTGGCGCACCGTCCGTGCCGCGCGCCGGTTCGAGCGCTGGGCCGCAACTCGAGTCAGCGGGCAGCCAGCCGCTCGGACTCGGCGTGGCCTGCTCGAGCAGTCCAGCGAACAGCTTGAACCCGCGGCCGTAGCGCTGTTCGAACATGGCGAGCGACACGTCGGGACGTTCGAACAGTGCGCGGCGGAAGAACCGAGCATTGCGCTCCGACTCGAGGACGGGCGCGTCGTCCCTCGCGACGCTTTCCGCTTCGGACTGCGCGCTGTCGCTCGACGAGTACGCGGCGAGCCCGCAAAAACTCGCGTCCACGGTGGTGGCGAGCTTGGCGGTGCTGCGGAAAATCGGCGGAAAAAAGCCGAAATTGGTAAAAGTGGCGCGGCGCGCCGCGTTCGGCTGGAAAAGTCAGCGCGAATTATAGGTTTTCCCCGCAAACATCATGAAAGTTCTGCAGAAACTGATCAAGTCTCTCACCGATTCTTCGCGCAGCGTCTTCTTGGCGAACGTCGGCTCGAGTTATTCGATGAACGACCTGCTCGAAATCGAGCGCGACAAAGCCAAAAAGTACAAGCTTATCAGCATCGTCGCGACGGTCTTCGGCTGCTGCGGCGTGCTGGCCTTTGTGAACTGCGCAAGGTCGGAGCACTCGAAGTTCAAAGAAATCCGACGCGCCGCGCTGGAGGCCGTGCCGATCGAGCACAGCGCACCCGTACTCGCGAGCACGCCCGCCACGAAGCGCGCAACTTAGCTGCGCCTTGCGCGGCGTAGCGGCCCGAGCGGCTAGCGGATTATCGCACTTTATTTGATCGTAATATTTTGCGTTTCGTCGACTAAGCAGCGCGGCTTGGGCAAAACATGCGTCTCGCTGAACGCGCACTGCTGCTCGCCACTACGTTGGCACAGCACGGAGGTCTTTCGGACTTCGTAAGTTGCGCACGCGCCGGCGCAGCTGCGAAAAATCGAGCGCGAGGTGGTAGTGATCAGCAACGACTCGGTGCTCGCCGCGATCAGCCGCGCAGAAGTGAACTCACAAATCGAAAGCCGCATCATCAACAACGCGGACTTTTCGCAGCTCTTCTGTGAGCGCGACTACGCGGAACCCTGTCCGTTGCAGTTCAAGCGCGAGGGCAGCCACTGCATCGCGCTGCAGTCGTACCAAGGCAGCAAGCCGCCCTACTTCGCGCTGCCGGAATCGGAAGCTGCGAAAAAAGCGATTGAGAAAGACTACGCAGTGAACTGGCCCTGCGTGGAGAACTGCGAGCAAGACTTCTCGCTGCTCTGCCCCGCGGACTGGACGCCGTTCGCCAACGGCAAGTGCGCGAGCCACAGCGCAGCGTTGCGCTGCGCGCTGGGCGAGTACGACGCGAACGGCGAGCAGACGGCGCCGTTGAGCACGCA